AAAGTCATTATTTTCCCCTCAATCTGAAATATGGACTTATAATCATTTGGCCGATTGAAAATTTGGATCTATGTTGTTATAGTTTATCAGACCGGTAGGTTTCCAATACCAGACGTTTATTGAGGTCCTCAGTTTTCTGTAGTGATATTCGGCTTTGAAGTACTGTAATCATAATTATAATATAGATTATTTGTGAAATGAAAACCACAACATGAACTTTACAATAGCACACACTATATTCTGTTCTATATGCCTCTGGGTGCTTGACATTTCTATGTCTGAATGATTCGACAAGCTCTTTTATTTCTAAATTCCTATGTTTCCAGTAATAATACTGCAATATTTATTTTCACTACATATTAAACTCCTATTAAGACGGTTAAGCATACAGAACTAGTTGAGTCTATAATGATTTTGTACCACTAAATGCGTTCTAAATACTCCGCACATTATGATCATCTCAATAGATGGTCATTTGCGTTGCACTGCCTATGGACACTTTCTAGCATGTTAAATAAATATATGTTCTTCATGTGCACATGTTCACATTATGTTGTTGAGATAAAATGAGTTAGTCATGGTAATGCAATGACTCATAATTAATGTTGTAAAAATCATGTAGGATGGCAGGGCTAAAGGTCATTTATAGTGTTAGAAATTAAGTCTGGACTTTGAGATATTGTGTTGGTCGGTTGTTCTTTAAAACATCTTACTTTACCTTACCATTTATTTACCTCCACCAGAAGGAAGTTATTTATTCACTGCTGTCCCTCTGTCTTGTCTGTTAGCAGAATTATGCAAAAACTAATGAATAATCATCAAAAATTTAGTGGAATGGTACATAATAATCAAAGAAAGACACCTTTTCAATTATCAGAAGAAAACAACGTGCCTGTATATTACAGGCAATTCCACTATTTTCTTGAGGGTAGGTTACAGTACTAAAGAAAATAATGTGCCTGAATACGACGGGCGATTCCATGATTTCATTGAGGGTATGCTGCAGTCCCACCTATTATCAAGGCCTGTGTATTGTTAGTATTTCTATTCAGGCAAAGGGCGGAGGTATGCACTCTATGGAGTCACTGCTCTGGTTATTAATATAATGAACAATATCAGTAATAACAATATAAAATAATACATCAATACATTTGGTATCTATCACCTAAATCAATTAACCATCACGACATGGTTCAGATTATTGAACTGGTCATTGCAATCATCATAGACAACATGCAACCTCTTCCAGTCCTAAGGGAGTTGTGCCTGATCATACAGGAATATTCAACATAGACCAAATTGAATTGAATTATGAAGTACTTTAAGATTTAAAAACAATACAGAAATGATTGTGCAGCCAGAAAGTAAACAATTAGAAAAAATACCCGAAATATACACCTGATCCTACCATACCTTAATTACCCATATAAAACTGATGGGTAGAAAGGCACATTTATAAAGAAATACTTGCCACAGACATAAGAAAAAAATTATCAGCATGAGATTTGAACACATGACCTTATGGTTGACAGCCTAATATGCAACTTCCAAAATTATTTTCTACTTCAATAAAGTACATTTATACCACTAGTCTCATGATAAGTATAGTACAAAACATCATACCTAGTTTATACTACAAACCATTGTTTGTCTCTCTTAATGGTTATACTGCTTGGTTACTGTAGCTCAGGTGATTTCTGGTTTAGTTTATTTTCATACCTTATTCACATATATTTTTTGAATGCCTTGAGACGAATTCGATCGTAGAAGGCGCTATATAAATACAAAACCATTACCATAACATCCTATTTCTGAATACAGATTTTACAATGTACTTATGAATATTTAATGATTTTTAATGAATATTAAATAATTACATTAAATTAATGAACATATCTGTCAAAATTAATTTTAAAAATATACTGATATTGTACTATAATCAATAACATTGTATTACTGTTTTATTTTCAAATGATAAAACGTGTTCAACCTCTGATGGGAAACACATTGAAACAATTCAGATTTACTGACATTTTACTCAGAAAATCCTTAGATTACCATAGCAGACAATTTAAGTCCTTGCCACGAATATATAGGAAAGGTATTATTTATTCGTCTCTTAATTGACGAGGAAAATATTTTCTCATTCAGTATTCCAATTGAAACTTAATAACTTTAAAATATCTTAGAGAGTATTTCTGAACCGGTATGTAGTATAATTTTAGATTCAAGCAATCATACATAATATCAAATTACTGTATAATTTTTCATATCTTTTAAGGCTTAGCTCACACAGTACATCTTTAAAGTAGCTAATGTATATGAAGTTTGGAATACTAAAATATTTAACTGGTTGAAGCTAAACTTCTGAATTATGGATGATGGATATGTATGAAACCATACATATTTTATAATAATAACCCCCATTGAATTTCCTTTTCATTTTCCTTTTCATTTGATTTAAAAATTTAAAAAAAAAAATAAATGAGAAATTTAAAACTTAGGTCAACAAGGTTTATAAATGAAAAACGTCAGCATAGGTCAAATATTAAAGTAAAACAAAAAGGGAAATATACAAACAAGTATTACAATACAAACATTTACAAAAAAAAAACCAATTCATACAATATATACTGGAGGTTACTGGGCCAGATTAGGCAGCTTTCGATTTGGACGACGCGGCGTTCTACGACGGGCAGTGGAGCGTGAAACCGTACTGCGCATGCAAATACATGGGGAAGTCGTTCGTTGTGTGGACTTGACAACAGGATTTAAGCAATTTGGCGTTGTGTTGACTACGGCAACGTTACATTTATAAATACGCGCTCCCTGGAGGCGCCTGCATAATTGATCATGCGATACGACGGAGCACGTCGTCCTGTAAATCGAAACAGCTTTGAGACGGGAAGTGCATAGTACGACGTTCACAGTTAACTGAATTACCCGTCGCAGCTCCCCGCGTCGCCTATTTCGAAAGCTCGCTATTCTCCTTTACACAGCTGGGTCAGGCAAGGATCCAGTACGGGGATGTCCCCCGTTTTGCCACTAAAATTTAAAATTTTAATGCATATCAAGTTATGTATTGAAATTCGTGCTACACACTTATCTATTTTGAAAATTTGTGGCACGCCCTCCCCCCACTTTTGAAAAAATTGGATCCGCTGCTGGAGATAGACAGAGCCATCCATTATTACCATCATTTGTATGTATGGGTTGCTCAACAGAAAGATGGGGGGCGGGACCACAATTTAGTAAAGAGAACAAATGTCAGAATAAGTGGAAGTACAAAAATGATGGAGGAGAGGGAGGGGGGAGGGGAATCAACATTATAACACATCCAGGCTATCTACAGAAAGGGGGGGATAGGACCTGTCTATCACTGTCATAAAGTGTCAGAAGTAAGGGCTGTACCAACTAGGGGATGCAGGAAGGACTTCAAATGTGAAAGGACATCACAAGGATGGATGTACCCAGAAGACAGAGGTATGGCCAAGCTCACAGCATGACATCATCATCAGGTGCCTTCAAGTTCACAGGCTGTACCAATAGGAAGGTAGGATAGAACCACAGTCTACAGCCATCAAAAGCAAGGGCTGTACCAACATGGAGGTGAGATAGGACAGTCTATTACCATCAAAAGGTGTCATAAGCATGTTAGCACTAACAGAGAGGACCATGGAGCATACTGTTATAATAGCACATTACATGGGCTGTAGCAAAAAGGCACTGGAGATTCCACAGCCTATTGGTGTCATAACCACAGTATACAAACAGCAAGCTCTGGCAGAACCACTGATCGACAGGGAGTGGGACCGTGCCAGAGCCTAGTAAGCTTTGAATTAAGACATCGTGGCCTTTGAAACTACATGAAAAAGGGCTCATAATCGAGGAGCATTTCCTGAAATCAAAATGGATAACAGGCAATCAGTTGGATGAGTTCACAATTGTCGCTGGTTCGGCTGTCAAAAGAGGATCTCATCTGCCAAAATTGGTTCACCTCCAAAAGAGTAGCCACATAATATTTCCTACAGATTCACAGATAGCTGTAAAAGTTTATGTTTGTTAATATGTTTAATAAATATTAATCTTCAAAATAAAGATGACCGTTACAGTACAGCTAGTTTAGACTAATGTTCAAGCAAGGTGAATATGCTTGCATAGCCTACAGTAGATTGATCTTCACCTACACACCTAATGGTCTGGCTGAAACAGCACTTGCGAGGGCAGACCAACTGACAACTAAAATGAGTCCCTTTTGGGGCAAAAACTAGTCCAACGGAAACATTTTTTCCAGACAATTTTAGCTGGACAGGCCCACTCGAAATATCAAGCCTGTAAAAATTCAAACCTGACCGACACAAGAAAAGGCAGTAATTTTATCAGTCAACCAAAATGATTTATTAAATCCATTAACTATAAGCTTCATCTGTGTACTAAAGACCTAAATCCACCAAGGTTAAGATGGTGCTTAAGACAGCCTCAAGTAATGCCGATATGAAGCGAAAAAAATTTACATTGAAATAAAGGTGACATATATAATTGTTTAATTCACTCTTTGTTGAATAGACTCTGTAGCTAGTGCTATGCAGTTTATGTTAATAGCTTAATGTTGCCCAGTTGAAATAATAGTAGCCTTATCTGTATCATATGTACAGTAGTCCATTTTATTATGTTAATATCTGTAGCCAATATTGTCCAGTTAATCAATATTATATGCTTATATGACCCAGATTTTCATGATATTACTTCAAATTACACCAAGAACAAAAATTATACCAGTACCTATGGCTGAATCTGAATACAAAGCATGTTTATCTTTTTGGTATTTTAAATAAAATCAATCTATTTAGCATGCATAAATACAAACATACTGTAACTAATACAGTAGGACAATACAAACCAATAATGGTATTTACTATACACTTTCACATAACCATAGCAATATTTTATATTTAATGAAAACAATAAATATAAACAATTTTTATTCAAAATAATAATACCTCTGAGCTTGGTTCTTCAACTGACACGTTGGAATACAATAGCCCTCGCATTTCATCACCTCCAAGTTCTCCCCCTTCTTTCTTTGGTCGTTTTTTCGTTTCATCTTCACTGGTTTGACCTTCTAATGGTAAAGTCAAAGATTCTTTCCTCGCATCTTGATTTTTATCTTCTGTTTGTTCCGTTTCTACTGGCTGTTCCTCTACTGGTTTGGAAGGACTTTCTGGTGACCTGTCGGCTGGATTATTTTGACCACAAACACGACCCGATGTCAAGTGTAATGAGTTACCCCCTCCTTCAACCGAACTGAAGAATGACGCTCCTGCCTGTGCCTTATATTTTAAACGCTGACTTTCCCTTGCCTCCGTGGCCGCTGCCTCCACATCTAACTGGGCTTTCGATTTTTGGGGTGGACGGCTATCGGACAGACGCAGCGACTTATCACCTTGCTCAATAGGATTAAAGAAGTTATCAATATTACGTCTTCTTGTTGCCTGAGGCGAACTCCAAGTCGGAGCCTTGGTACCGAGAGGTGTATAGGATTGGTCTGTATTACCTTTCCTACCAGCCATTATAATATAAAAATGCTATAACAGAAATGAGTTCTATTCAATCACTCACGTATATTGATGCACTACAGCTTCCAACGTAAGCTTCCCACGTTGCCTTGATGATCGCAAGAAATTTAGGATGACCCGCAATGCCGTAATCAGCTGGGATGAGGTCACTCCTTAGTCACGTTGAGGAGATGATACACTCTGCTACTATACAACCTGAAATTCAGCTGTAAGTGAGCATGTGTGATGAACTCAATTACTTATGCTGTAGATATTGATCTGTCACATCAAAACTGGCATCATAGTCTGCATCTGCTTAAGCATGTGCCTACAAAGCTGGAGCAAGCCACAATCCAAATAGGTAACTCTAATGACTCACAAAACTAATGATCAATCTACAGTTACTAGTCTTTCTTTGTGCTGGTGAAACTGACAATTACATTTTGCTACGGCTCTCTAGCCAAGGCCTACTAAGATAATCAATTTTACGGCTGGACAAAGCAGCCAAATCTTTCCCATACCATTGTTTCATTTTTTCTAGTATGACAATAACTCACATGTACAAACAAATGGCACCACTGGAAAAGGAAATTCCGGAATTGAATACAAAGGATGTAATGTCCCTGCTCTGTTTTTTTTTAATAGTATTGAGCTAAAAATACTTGCATTTGAGCTAAGGTTTTCAAAATAAACAATAAACCTCTATTATTATTGCTTCTGCACTAGACCTTAATTAGGACATATTTATTATGATTGTGCCACTGGCAATATATTTTTATTGGAAGAGGGATTCCAAGGCTGGAATGTTAACATTTAGTTTCATAATCCTGAGTTCTGCTTCTACTACTATAGCTAAATATTTTACTCGAATACACTCCATATTTAAAGACACTCTCCCAATTGGGCTATTAAAAAAATAAAATTCAATATTAATTAGTTACTTTGTACGGTATATGAAACTTGCATACATTACATATTACAACTTGCATACATTACTGTCCCAATTGAGCCATTAAAACAAATAAAATTCAATATTTATAAGTTACCTTTGTATGTATATAAAAGTGACTAGATTTAATTAAAAACAGAAATTCTAATAAAACATCACTAAGAAAAATATTTGAATTTCATTTATTCAATGTATAAAATTCATTGTATGTGAAGGGATCTTTGTACTGATTTTCTTTTTGCATATTTTGAATTATTTCTGTTATTGAAAAATAAGAATAACTATCCTAAATGTCCACACCAAAAAACAGAGCAAGCTTCAAGCATAATTACAAACTTTACAATGAAAGTAGATAATCATCTTATTATTTTTCAGATTGCCTGTTGTAATAATTGTGGCATTTAAGCTTACTAACAAAGGACATATTTGCCGCACAAAATCCGATTATTTCCACTTTCAAAAGGGGGTTGATTCGTTTCATTTAACAAACCTAATCATACTAAATGAACCTAACTTAAGAGCCATGTTTACTCCATTCACAAATAACCATAGCATTTTTTTTATAATCAATAATTTTAAAAGGCTAAACATACTGTAAACTGCTAGGTGAATATCATATAGGACTAATTGTACTGTACATAAATAATGAAAAAAAAACAGTATTGTGTAATATTAGGCCTATTTCTAGTAACAAATATGTCATTTCAAGCCTTTGTTTGATTAAATCAACTTAATATATATTACATGAAAATTTTACTTAACTTTATTTATTTCATTTTCTAATCAACTAAACAGAGAAAAAAAGAATTCCAAAAATATATTCAACAGTTAAACGAACTCTAAATAAATACTAATTCTTAAAGATACGAAGTGTTGAAATATTGAATTATTTGGCTTAACAGGGAGTTTTCTCAAGGCATTCAAATAGCATCTTCTTTTTTATCTTACATTCATGTAGCCTACCATTAATCATTAATCCACTGAAATATGATGAGTTGTTTCACATACTTCCACCTCTTTCCTCACAAGTGTTTGCTTGCTTAACTTTTTCTGAAGTAGGAAACTAAACAAAATTTATGTATTCAGATTCTTGACATATCAATGATGCATTGAAATAACTGCAATTTGCTAGCAGAGGCGTTAGATACATTCCAAAGAAGAGACCGTATCAGAGTTCACTTATTGCATTCATCACGAACTGAACATTAATCAAATAATTCTACTTAATTAGCAAATACATGGAATACTTCCCACATCTAATAACAGAATTTCAATGCTTATTATTCTTAATTTAATTCATTAGTTTAATTATTATGCATAACCAGATTAACGATCTCATTAAAGAATTTATAACAAATGAGTCATGAATTTTAACTACAAAGAAATGCAAATGCTCTGCAATGAGTTGAATAGGAAGCTGTAGTGTTATGGAAACAAGGTACTCAGCTCATTGAACCACAGCTGTAGGTTCAATCCTTATATTAAAGTTAATTTCGAACATGCAGCAACTATCCACAAACTTGACCCCACTAACTTCCATCAGAATTGTTAGTTTTTGATATTGCACATCATTTAGACATCATTAACTGTCATTTCATTAAATCATTAAAAAAACTAAAGCTAACTCAGAGGAAATTAAAATATTGAGTTTAATTTTTTTTTTTTTTTTTTTTTTTTGTTGGATCAACTCTAGTAGAAGTAGCATTATTTAAGTCCTTTAAATTTAAGTATTTACTAATATTAGTTCAACTATAATGAATTTTATTATTAATGCAATTAAGAATTGTATTTATTCATCCTGTTATTGTAGGTATCAAATCAAATCTCTCATTTTGTTCTGCTTCTTCCAGACACTCTGAGCAGCACACCATAAATTAAAAACTATCCTCTGAGAATAACTGACAGACACAACATTATCTTAAAGTAGCAAAAATAATTAGACGCTGAAATGAATTGCACTCAACACAGAGAGAGGAAATCAAACAGCTGTCCACGCCCTGCGCACTTGCAAGAAAATTAAAAGTAAACACATCTGCTTCAAATTCACAAGAAAAGAATGAGCAAGATTAAAGTTATTAGTCCATCATTATTTCACAGAAATAATTATCTGGTAAAAAACTATTTTTGCACATCATTATTATTCAGAGGAGTGTATATAAAGCATTTCAACTACCAGAGTCTATATATGGTAAAACATGTTAGCTCCTCATAACTATTCATAGAATAATGAGACTATTGGAAAAACTGTCAACCCTCATTAATATTCAAAGCAGGAATAAGCACTGTTTGTAAAATGTGTCGACTATTCATTATGATTATATGAGCACTACTGTATGTCAAGCTTTAATTATTATTCATCAATACACGTCACATGTTATGATTATGCAATTATAATTCATTTAATAGCTTATGCGATGTCAGGGAGAAGGTAATAAATATTCATGAGCAGAATACTGAAGTATTGAATATTAATGAGAGAAAGTAAGGGAATCCACATGGGTGTGTTAAAGTAGCCATCAGACAGGTGGTGGCGCAGCTTTTAAAATAATATAGAATTTAGCATTTAGTGCTGATTTGAGAAGATTTGATTTACTACCACAACCTGAGAATAATAAAGTGTAATCATGGAGGGTAACTTGAGCAATTGGCAGTAAACCAAGGGGAGGCGACTATTATCTCCCCATTTTCATGAGAGTGCAAACCATATAGAGAATATAAATATAATGTTCCACTTAAAGCAGTCCTGGTAATGTGAAAATTAAATCATGAAAGTTACCATAGAAACAATGAGAGGTATGATAAAGAGAAACTAAAACTTTTAAAAAATTATTTATTTCATTTATTCCAGTATATATATTTATTTATTTTTATTTATATTTATTTATTAACTTATTTATTTATTTCCTTTTCTTTCCCTTTTTACCGCGACATACAGTATATGAGTGCTGTACAACACATTGTGCGAGTATACTCAAATGAGGTTATGCACAGTAACGGAAAATGATGATGAGTAAAAAAATGACATTGACAAGCAAAAATGCTGCCAGCTGAGCATGCTTGCATCACAATTTTAAAAATATATATTTATTATGTTTTAATTCAGTGATATTATTATACAATAATTTATAATCTTAGATACCTCATTAAATATATTATTTGAAATGCCTCGTTAAATATTCCTACTACAGCAGGAAATACATTTCTTTGTCTGGATATAGGTCAAAGTTTATTGGCTGCAACTTAAGCAATTACTTTAAGACATCCATCAACGTAATTAGAACGAGCATATTTGACAACTAAGGTATGAAATACAGACAGGGAATATTAATCAAACTGAATGTAATAATATCATGCATACTACGACAATGAGAACATCTCCCCCTTAAGAAGCAGATGCTTGAAAATAAGTAGAACTTGACACATAAACTAAAAAATTTAGTCAATATATTATTGAAGGTCCATAGTCATAAGAATATTTAAATTCAAATAATCTTTATTGCAAGCAAGAAAGATAGATTGGATATTACAATATTTGTCAAAGAATATACATCCAAAAAATCAAACAACACAAAAACATCAGGACATTCAAGAAATATAATTCACAAATTTAAATGATTTATCCTCATTATGTAAAGAAAATGAATGCCCTATTACTATTACAATAGGCCTACAATAATGAAATCAGAAATGTCTATTCTACCAAATCTAGATTTTGTTTTGCATCTGTCACACTACAGAATACAGTAGCCTACATTCATATTCATGGTGTATGTACACAAAAATCAATAGCAACATCAAATCCAATGCAAAAAGAATTTGTGCATTCGCTCAAAGAGACATGCACATACACACCACATGCGAAATAATTTCATGTACAGGTACTGTATGTGCAACCAATTAGTAGATATTGCAAGAGGTCCAACTGTCATGATTTTGCATGTACGCAATGAAACAAAAAAAAAGTACCACAAGATAGAGGGTGCCCTATTAGAATATGAATATAGTTCGAAACTCATTCGATACCATAGAGCTATTAAAAAACTAGAGTGCTGACAAGATGGCGAAGCACTCATATTCATGGTGTATGTACACAAAAATCAATAGCAACATCAAATCCAATGCAAAAAGAATTTGTGCATTCGCTCAAAGAGACATGCACATACACACCACATGCGAAATAATTTCATGTACAGGTACTGTATGTGCAACCAATTAGTAGATATTGCAAGAGGTCCAACTGTCATGATTTTGCATGTACGCAATGAAACAAAAAAAAAAGTACCACAAGATAGAGGGTGCCCTATTAGAATATGAATATA